AGAGAGAGAGAGAGATTTTAAAGCACAAAACACTTTGGTGAAGCCAAATAAAAAGAGCTCACATAGAACATAGGATTATGACCATACATTGATGTATAGTTTGGCAATTTATCAAACACTTTTATCCAAGTTCACACTCCAGCAAATAAGTCTTAAAATGACACAAAATGGTCACCAATTTTCATGAAAAATATGCTCAAAGCCGCAGAGATAACCAAGTGCTCAAAACTTGAAGAAAATGGTGTCTAGGGTAAGAATCCAAAGACCATACAATGCATACTATGGAGTATACATGCATATTTCAAGGAAAGATCACGAAAGTCCAAGGTAATGAGGTAAAGATGTTACTGTAATGGAGGGATGACAACATATAAACTATAATGGAAATGCTAAGAAATAAAAGATGTTAGAGATGGTTACCCTAGAAGATATGGACTAGACACCTTGAGATTTTGCATGCACCATCACTATAATCAAGAAGCTTCACCAGAAGGGGATTGTAAATGGTTTAATGAAGAATGGGAAGGCACTCTAGAATGGGGCGTGGTGCTCTCTCTCTCTTTCTAGGTTGGTTCAAGTGTTTAGAGAATGGAGGTGAGCAAGGGTTTGTATAGCCTTGTGGTAGAGGTATTTTTGAGTGAATAAATCGTGGTCCTTGATGTTATTCATCTATTGCACATGAGAGGGCTATTATCCTAGCTACACATTCATTCCTAGCCATCAAGATCAATGGATGTGATTTGCATGCCATTATCACTCCATAAAACCCTAGATTAGCCATTTTACCAAATTGTCCTTGTCCCATACACAGTTTCTCATGTACTTTGATCATTCCATAATTTCCATAAAACTTCTTAATATCGAGACACATTATGACTAGTCTCCTCACTTGTCGTGGCTGCATAAGCCAAGTACTATTGGGGTTAGGCTGTTCAGCGACATCCCAACATGTCTCCTTAGTGTGTCGAAATTTTCCACAAGGCTACATTTCAACTATTCCTTTTCATCAAGTGTGAGGCTTATGTAACTACCACTGCAGCCTCACCTTGACCACCACTATGGTCACTAGCATGATTATTGAGAGAGTTGGAAACTGAGGCAGATATTTAATATTCACTAATGGATACAACCATAATTTGCGGTGAACGCAAAATCTTGTTTCATAGACAAGATGAATTACTCTTTAAAGAGCTTCTTAAGTTCTTTTACATGAGAGAGAGAGAGAGAGAGAGAGAGAGAGAGAGAGAGAGAGAGAGAGAGTACTAGTCTATCTTCGTCCTTCTTACCTTCCGTTACGTACGTACGTACGTACGTACGTTAACGGTAACGTAAGTAGGAAGAACGAAAGGAACGTACTA